GGGGGGGACATGCAGATCTGTCCTCGCAGAGGAGGGAGAGCTTGTACCTGAATAAAACTTGCTCTTAAAGATGCCACTGGACTGTTTTGGATTGCTAGCTATGGGAGGGTGGGGAACGTGCAGATCTGCCCTCACAGAGGAGAGAGAGCTTGTACCTGAAGGTGGGCTGGAGGGGGGGGCTCTGCAATTTATCTGGTTCCTTCTTGCTCCTCGTGGCCCAACTGAGGGCTGCTGGGAGCCAGGGGGTGGGGCTTTTTGCATGTGCCCACCCCCTGGGCTCCTTACTGCCGGAGCTCCGCTCCTGTGTGCTCCCGCAGGAAATGACCCCCTAGCTCTACCACTTAGCTACAGCCCCTCCCCTAAACTACTTCAGAGCCTTTATTGCAGAATAAACTGGCTAAAAATAACATCCTTCCCTTACCCACACACCCTGAAATCATTGCAATTCAAGGAGTTTAAAAATATCTCCTAGAAACATCCAAGGTTTTCATCTATTTTAAAATCCCAGTTTGATATCACAAACTAAAAGGGTGCTGAAGTGATTAGCTCAATTCTAATTCAAATATTTGCCCAAGAACAATGACCAACCTAATCAGAAGGGCTGATACGAAATGTCACTGACACACTTTTAGTGTTTAATATACACAGGATGTTAAAAGAGATCTGGTTCACAAATCTGAACGCTTAGCACTTGGCACCAATAAAAATAATTACCAGCACCAGTGCACTTGAACCTTACGGAATAAAATGACTGAAATCCTGAAAGCTTCCATCTGCACAGGTCTCCGATGGCCAAATATGGCAATGATACCCGGTGAGGGCACGGCGCACTTGCCCGATCGTAAGAGAGAGTGGTAGAGCATGGTTTCAACCTGCAAAGTTGCATTAACGAGTCGCCAAGATCTGCATTTCGTCTTGCTAATTCTGCAACATTATGCCAGAAAGGGCTCTTTTTGTAGAAAAAGCCCAGCAGGAACTCATTAGCATAATAGGCAACACCCAACAGCAGAAACCCATTACCATATTAGGCCACATCTTTGACAGCACAGCACAATAGCCTATTAGGCCGCACCCCCATGTTACCAGAAGTGTGGTCATCCAGCCACACCCACCTTTTGCTTCTTATTCTGTTTACTTTGTTGTCAAAACCCAGAGCTTTTTTGGTAGCAGGAACTCCTTTGCATGTTAGGCCACACACCCCTAATGTAGCCAATCCTAATGAGTTCCTGCTGTTGGGTGTGGCCTATTATGCTAATTAGTTCCTGCTGGGCGTGGCCAACTCGGGAGCCAGCCGGAACTCTGTTCCTGTGCGTTCCTGCCCAAAAATAGCCCTGGATAATACCAAGTGGCAGACCACACACATTAAATAGAATCACGCGGGTAGCCGTGTTGGTCTGAAGGAGCAGAACAACTTTCGAGTCCAGTGGCACCTTTAAGACCAACAAAAGTTTATTCAAGGTATAAGCTTTCGTGTGCAGGCACACTTCCTCAGATACAATGAAATGGAAGTTACCAGTCCATACATATAGGTAGATGGTAAGCAGTAAATTAACATACAACATAATGAAGCCATTTAACAGATTCAAGGCTCAAACAGGAACAAGTTTCGTTTATAAGGGTACCATTTGTTTGGGTTTAATTCGGGGGAACATAGTGAAGGAAATAAATATGTCAAAATTGGAGATTGATGGGTAGATGTATCCTTAATTATAATAATAATAATAATAATACCTTCCGATTTATTGATCGCTCAGTCCGGCAGAGCTGCTGGCTCTGAGCGATTTACAGTTACACGGTTTCTCACAAGGGACTAACAATTTCATAGGGGTAAGGGAGGACAACATATAATTCTTTAAATCGCACACATTTTGAAGCCGACGGGGATTTTTGTTCAGCTGTAGGCTTCAGACGTGTTCCGGAGGCATTCACTTTTCGGCTTGGCTTGATGACGTTGGTTCTTCCTGGGCTGCTTGGAATCGTAGCACCGCACTGCCATCACCTGGCTGGATTGGCCCATTACAGGCTTCTTAATGCTGAAGAGGTCTTTTTATCAGGCTTCCGAACTGGACATTCCATTCGCCGGCTAACACCTCCCCTATGGGGGTTTAGTGTGCCCACCCTCTCTAAAGAGTGGTAACCATTTTATCTACTCGCCGAAGCTTTCGAACCGCTGGGTGGACGGCGAGCTGGGGACAAGGCTGGTAGCTCACACCAGCGCGAGCTAGAACTGACAGCAACTCTGTTCAGTTCAGATTTTAACCAGAGGATAAATCCTCTGTGCCACCGCTCCCCCGGTGGAATGCTGAGAGTGATTAACTGAGACCCTGCCATTATGCTCCATCTGTCTCCTCTCAAGCATGGAGGCGACCTTACAGCATCTTCTTCTTTGAAGTGGGGCGAATGGCTGTGCAGAGTATCTCTGCGTAGAGAATCTCTGTCAATGGGGGGGGGGGAAGCATTCCAGAGCCTAGAAGCTTCTTCAGAAAAGCTTGGAAGCTCTTCTCCACAGCTGGCCTGCAATCGTGCAGTCCCGTGTGCACAGAAGCCACAATGATGAAGAAGGAATTTTCACTGACTTCCCTTCTCAAAATTGCATTGCTACAGAATCAATGTATTGGTGACTTGCTTCTCAAACCATCCATTACTGCAACTGGCTTGGCTTAAAATTGGCAGAGAACTTGGCTTTCTATGGCTTCCATATTCTAGTCTCTCTTTCCCCCCCAAAAGCTCTTAGCCCTCACGGAGTCAGTCCTAAGGAGCGGTTTGTTCTATCAAGGAAGAAACTCAGAGCCATCCTTGCATCTAGACAATGGTCTTCAGGGTTAGCTCACTCCAAGGACAGTCATGAGCCCTGAGCTTGGCCATTGACAAACAGTCTCAAATCTCCAGGCTTGGCAATCTTTCCTTGTGGCTACAAAGGGAACAAAACACACCCTCTTCCACGCCGCCACCAATATTCCACATGCTATCTGAAACTCCTTCCTGTCAGTGCACTGCATCAATAATATAATTAGGATCGGTAGTTCAGCAGTTCAAGACCCGAGTGTGCCGCATGACGAAGTGAGCTCCCGTCTCTAGTTCCAGCTCCTGCCAACCTAGCCGTTCGAAAGCAAGACATTGCAAGTAGATAAATAGGTACCGCTTGGGTGGGAAGGTAACAGCGTTCCGTACGCCTTGGTGTTTAGTCATGCCGGCCACGTGACCACAGAAATGTCTTCGGACAGCGCTGGCTCTTCGGCTTGGAAACGGAGATGAGCACCACAACCCTAGAGTCGGACTTGACTGGCTTTCGAGCAAGGGAACCTTTACCTTTACTATCTAACTAGCACTATCCCAACCTGACTACATTTTCAACAGTGGATTTAGCAGACACCTACGATACAATACACAGAGTGTTATTAATCTAACAGATTAAACAATCAATCACTGGCATAAATTCCCAAACCAAATAAATTCTATTATTTAGCTTTCATTAGAACATAAAAGGGCCCTGGTGATTCAGACTAAAGGTTCACCTAGTTCAGCATCTGTTTCCCCACAGTGGCCATCCAGATGCCCACGCACAACACGGCATAGCACACAAAGGGCAAAAGCTTACCCACACAGTCTGGTGATGGTCCCACCCCTCGCTGCAGCTATCAGGACATATGCCTCTGTATGTGAAAGCTCTAGCTACCATGGCCATGGAGTTGTTTATTCCCGTTTTAAAAGCCATCCAAGCTCGTTGCAATCTTCTCTAAATTATGCATGGTGTGACGAAGTACTTCATTTTGTCTGACCTACATCTACTCTCTCTGGCTGCAAAAGTCTTGGATGCCTCATTCAACCTGTGTTTTTCAGGACTGATGACAGACTGGGAAGCTCTGAAGACACTGCTAAAATACTGGGTGAAGAAAACCTTATGATGATAATTAGGGTTGCCAGGTCCCCCGGGGGGCGGGAAAACCCCCGCTCGATGGGTCCGTTCCCCGCCGGCCCAAATCGGGCTGCCGGGGGGGGGAACCCCACCCCCCAAAGTGCCGGGAGCACGGAGATGTGCCCAGCGTGATGACATCACCTAGCGGTGACGTCATTGTGTCAGGCACGTTGCAGGGAGACAATCTATTATTTGGGGGGAAAACTCTATGTTTTCCCCTCGAATGATAGTGGCCCCGCCCCCAACGTGCCCAACGCAATGACACCACTTCCGGGTGATGTCACTGCAGTGCGCACTTTGCGTGCATGCCAATGAACTCCCAGAGAGGGCCAGGACTTCCCCCGCTGCAGCCAAGGTAGGACTCGGCAACCCAAATGTTAATGGGCTTTGGAGCCAGCTCGGAGGACTACTCTGAAACCTCCTGGATTCCACACAAGACTCAAGCTTCTTATCAAGAGCCAGAGCTCGACAAAAGGCTCATGAGCATCTGGCACAGCGACAGCCATAGAAGAGAGCGCTGGAAGAGTAAACTGTCTCACATTTCTGTTCACCAAGCAAAGCACTACCACTTACACAAAGCAAGAAAGGGAGGGGGGGTAAATATATCCATTTTCCGGCTGCTTTTGATTGCATCAGCAAGGAAACAGCTAATGCCATAATGCCTAGTGACTGGGAAGAGAAAGAACAAAAGTCAGCAGTTTTCCAGCCTCACTTTAGAACAACAAACACACCGAAGGTCAAGATTTTTTTTTTTTTTAAACACCACAGGGAGAAGTCTATGTGGAGCTATCAGGAGGCTCCTACATTAATGAAAATAAAACTCCATGGGGCAAAAATACATTTTTTAAAAGCCAGAACCTTGAAAACAGTTTGTCAGAAAGCCATGTTGTTGTTTTTACTGGCAATGCCTGAGGCACAGTGTACAGTCAATCAAGTCCAATGGAGCAAAAGTCAGGGTTACATTTTAAAGTGAGGTACTCTGCAAGACTGCAAACAACAAGTTGTGCAATGCAATGAAAAACTGGGGATGAAATGGGTTGCTTCTTTCTTCTGCCATGCCGTTAGGAGAGCTCTTCAGGGAAGCATGCCCATGGTAAAAATTTTGCCAGACTCCTGCAACAATCAGACTCAACAACTCGCTTCTTCAGAAGGAAAGTTTATTGATCAGTATTGGCAGAACATCTCTACTTCAGGAACTGTGTTAAGACTAGAAGAAGAAGAGAAGAAGATTATACCCCACCCTTCACTTGGGAGTCTCAGAGCGGCTGACAAACTCCTTTCCCTTCCCCTCCCCACAACAGACACCCTGGGAAGTGGGTGGGGCTGAGAGAGCTCTGACACAAACTGCTCTTTTTCAAGGACAGCTGTGCCAGAGCTTGTGACTGACCCAAGGTCACATCAGCAGGTGCAAGTGGAGGAGTGGGGGAATCAAACCTGGTTCTCCCAGATGAGAGTCCGCGCACTTAACCACTACACCAAACTGCATAAAGAGATATACAGTGTTCAAAGGGGGTCACCAGATGGGTAAGAGCCAATGAAGGGGGAACAGGGCTCCGCCAGAATGTAATGGTCCCACTTTCCCAGAGAAGGTAGTACGGTGAAGCATTCAAGGCCAAGCACATATAACGTACAGATAAGAGAGCGAGCATCACTGAGGCAACCAGAAAACTGAAAGCACATTCCAAGGAGTGAATGATCCCCCCCCCCAGCCTTTATGGCAGAGAGCTGACATTTTTCTGCAGTATTAAGAACTTGAATCTAGTTTCCCCAGAGTCTGATGCATATTCCTAAGTTCTAGCGAATCATATTCATGCTTGTATGACATTGAGAAGACTAAACGGTGCCTGGTGGGCTTTATGGCCTCTGTTGACCCTAATTAAAACAACAACAACGACAAGTGTTGCTACTGCTGAAAGAAATTTTATCTCTCTGACGTGAAAAATTAACAAAGGATGCCCAGGCTTACTGCCACAGAAGAATAAACAGAAGAAAGGAGGAGCTTGTACATTTCATGTCACTCTCAGAATTTAAGAACCCATTTGTTTATTTAACGGAAAATGGATTATGTATAATATTCAAGCCACAGCTCAACAAAGCTACTAGAGGAGAACAAGAATTCTAAGACCCCGGTCACACGGGCCAGATAACGTGGGGGGAGGCGTGGCTTTTTGCCCCAGTGCAATTTAACGCACCAGAACGCGATCAGACGCCGCGGCAGCAAAATGGGGTTTTGTTTGTCAGCGCGTGTTTTCGGCGTGCGTCAACACCGTGAGAGGAGCGCGCTTGAGCGATCACAGATAGGTATTCCGTCGACAGCCGTAGCAAACAGTTTGCTAGCAGGCTTTCCCGGGTATTTTTACACTCCGGACTTTCGGGCGGATGCTACGGGTCGGCGATGGGTGTGCTACGCTTGCCAGATGTGTCCTTGTGTTCGCGGCCGTATACTCTGCCCGACATTCGTGCCTCTCCCGCCGCAAATTCCGCGTGTGAACAAGGGTCTAAATATATCTGAAGAACCCCTATGAATTATGGTGCAATTTTCTCCAGTGTTAATTACAGCTCTGAAGACAGTGGCAAACTCTACCCTTTAAAAATACAACTTTTACCAGCCTGTTTCACTCCCCTAGCTCCTCAGAAAAACAAGAAGCTAAGAGGACTCTGTTGGAACTAAAAGGGTTTTAGGAACTCTCCTGGGACACGTCTGCATTCCAAAGTCAGCTAGAAGCACCAAGAAACTCCCTGAGGGCAGTTAGTAATCAACCCATATCAGCCTATGGGGGTGGATCACTGTTAGAGATACCCACGCCTGCAGATATGACATTAAGTCATCAAATAAAGAGTCACCAAGTAAGATGCCCCCTTGGGACAGTGTAATCACAAGAGCCTAGTTTCTATCCCTAACACTAGCTGCCTTGGCCTTAATTACAGGGAATTAATCTGGAAATGCACTGCCTCACAATACAAGAACTCATGGGCATTCAATGAAATTGCTGAGCGGTCGGGTTAGAACGGATAAAAGGAAGTACCCAAAGAGTGATTAACACTTGGAATTCACGGCCACAGGAAGTGGTGGCAGCTACAAGCATGGACGGCTTCAGGAGGGAATTAGATAAGCATATGGAGCAGAGGTCCATCGGTGGTTATTAACCACAAGGTATAGATAGGGTCTCTGGGGCAAGTGATGCTCTGTCTTCTTGGTGCTTGGGGGGGGGGTCAACAGTGGGAGGGCTTCTAGAGTCCTGGCCCCACTGCTGGACCTCCTGATGGCACCTGGTATTTTTGGCCACTGTGTGACAGAGTGTTGGACTGGATGGGCCTTTGGCCTGATCCAACATTGGCGTCTCTTATGTTCTTATCATTCCAAGGTCCCAACAATACAGAAACCTGCACATACCCAGGACAGCTTGGCCAGGGATCCCGGAGGTTTTTTGTCATCTTCTGGGTGTGGGACAGTGGTCACTGCTACATTGTGCAGGGGGTTTAACTAGATGACCCTTGGAGGTCCCTTCGAACTCTATGACTCTATTCTATGCCCTACCCATTCTTCAAAACAGATATTTACAGCAGCCCCAATTCATGGTGCTGGTGTTGGTATTTGAAGCCCTAGATGGTTTGGGGATCAGGATACCTGAAGAACCACCTACTCATTCATGAACCTACCTGGCCACTACAGCCATCCTCCTGAGGCCTTGCTTCAGGTGCACCTGCCTTCTGGGATGAGGTGGGTGGCACACCAGAAGAAAGCCCTCTCAGCTGGAGCACCAAAACTCTGGAACTCTCTCTCCAGGGACACTCCCCTGTCTTCTTCAGCTGCCCTCTTCCACCAGTGGGTAAAAGACCCTTCTGTTTTGTCTGGTGCCCTCTCAGTGACCCCTCCTTCTTGCCCCGTTTTTAATGGTTGTTTTTATGTATGGGCATTTTATTGTATTGTATGTGTATGGAACTGCGGTGGCTCAAGTGGTTAAGACGCTGAACTGCAGGCTGTGTCCATGATGGTCTGGCAATCTCCCGTATTTATAGAATACTATTATGTCGAGCTATTATTACTATCCAGCTCCTGCCAACCTAGCAGTTCGAAAGCAAGAAATTGCAAGTAGATAAATAGGTACCACTTCGGTGGGAAGGGAACAGCGTTCCGTGCGCCTTGGTGTTTAGTCATGCCGGCCACATGACCACGGAAATGTCTTCGGACAGCGCTGGCTCTTCGGCTTTGAAACGGAGATGAGCACCGCAGCCCTAGAGTCGGATGCGACTGGCTTTCGAGCAAGGGAACCTTTACCTTTACGTGTATTTTAACTCGGTTTTAGTTGTCTGAACGATGTTTGGTTGGGTGTGAATAATTTTTTTTATTTTTGTTAATATGTTTTTTAATCTGTCAGCTGCCTCGGTAGCCCTACGGTTTTAGTTGCCTGAACGATGTTTTGTTGGGTGTCAATAATTTTTTTTTATTTTTGTTAATATGTTTTTTAATCTGTCAGCTGCCTCGGTAGCCCTAATGAGGACAGAAAGGTGAAGTATATTTTGGTGGCCCTAATGAGGACAGAAAGGTGAAGTATAAATTTTGCAAATAAATAAAAAATATGTTGTCGAAGGCTTTCCCGGCTGGAGATCATTCGTTGCTGTAGGTTTTCCGGCGCTGTGTGGCCGTGGTCTTGGCATTGTAGAACCTGACGTTTTGCCAGTAACTGTGACTGGCATCCTCAGAGGTGTAAAACAGAAAGATGGAGCACTCTCTGTGTCAAGGTGAGAAGAAAAATGGTAGGCAGGTAATTTATATCTACTCCAGAAGGTGGGGTAGGGCTGCGTCATTATCTTTCATTATATTGTAGGAGCTCTCCAGGCTATGAACATACTAATGGAGGAGCTTTCCTGAGGAGGTTCTTTTGTATGTGAATTGTTTCCTAAGGAAGTTTCCTGTTTCCTGAGGAGGTTCTTTTGTATATGGATTTTTCCTTTGAAGGTTTCCTGTTTCCTTCAAATAAAAAATAATTGAAAAACAGACTGCCTGGACATTTTCTTGGTTCTCAGAGCCCCAAGCTGAACAACAGCTATTCTTGCACAGCAGAGGAAGAATATAATCTTGATTATCAATCGCCACCAAATATTGACAAGTCACTTCATAATCTGCAGCGCTGTTTATTTACCGTCCCCCAAATGTATAACTACGTAAATGAATCAATGCAGATGTTAAGTTGTATATCCAGCTGTCACACTGCACATCTCAACATAAACACCACCCTGATTCTAGCTATTTTGCCCAACACCCTCCACTCACCCATCTTTAGAGAGATGATGCCGGAAGAAATCATTAGCAGCTAGCTTGATGGCTTTTTCTGGAGTCACTAGCGTCAAATTCACTGCTGCCCCTGAGCAAGAACACAAAGAACAGAACACACAGGTTCAAAATTATACATTCTTTGGCACATAAGAACATAATAGAAGCCATGTTGGATAAGACCAATGGCCCATCCACTCCAACACTCCGTGTCACATAGTGTCCAAAAATACCAGCTGCCATCAGGAGGTTCACCAGAACTCCAGAAGCCCTCCCACTGTTGCCCCCCCCCCAAGCACTTTGCCCAAAATTTAAGCTTAGGACAGAAGATGCACTGTGGAATCATCTGTGAGAATTTTACCTTAATTCTCAGAGACTCATCACAAGCAAAAGTAGTGCCATAATTGACAAGTCACTTCATAATCTGCAGCGCTGTTTATTTACCGTCCCCCAAATGTATAACTACGTAAATGAATCAATGCAGATGTTAAGTACAATATCCAGCCGTCACACTGCACATCTCAACATAAACACCACCCTGATTCTAGCTATTTTGCCCAACACCCTCCACTCACCCATCTTTAGAGAGATGATGCCGGAAGAAATCATTAGCAGCTAGCTTGATGGCTTTTTCTGGAGTCACTAGCGTCAAATTCACTGCTGCCCCTGAGCAAGAACACAAAGAACAGAACACACAGGTTCAAAATTATACATTCTTTGGCACATAAGAACATAATAGAAGCCATGTTGGATAAGACCAATGGCCCATCCACTCCAACACTCCGTGTCACATAGTGTCCAAAAATACCAGCTGCCATCAGGAGGTTCACCAGAACTCCAGAAGCCCTCCCACTGTTGCCCCCCCCCCCACAAGCACTTTGCTCGAAATTTAAGCTTAGGACAGAAGATGCACTGTGGAATCATCTGTGAGAATTTTACCTTAATTCTCAGAGACTCATCACAAGCAAAAGTAGTGCCATAACAGGAGCTGGTGCTCAAATCCATTTCTGTTCCCACCGATAGCAGTGGCTGCTGCATCAGTGCACACATCCTGCCTTGTCACAGAACAGCTGTGCCATGCAGAAGCATTAATAAAACACCAACTTTATGGTTGAGATGGTTAAACCATGGAAGAACCCGATGCAATTCCATATTAACAAGTCTGGGGAGAAGGTTTTTTCTCTCTGATAGGACAGAGCCAGCCAAACAACTGAGAGGGATCATGCGATGCTTCAGATACAGAGGCACAAACCTCAACTTGATGCGTCAGCATTCATGGGATCAGACTGAGAGAGAGAAATGCTTCCATAACAGCAAAGGAATTGCAGGGTTCAAACTTCTTTTCAGGGAACGCTTTCTGAAACCTCCATCCGAATTGTCATTAAGGACTTTTCACAAGGCTACACAACAAATCTGGGATCTAAATCGCACTAGGATGGTGATCAGTTTCTACTTTGCCGGGGGGGGGGGGGAATCCTTCATTTTCTTTGAATCCTTGATTTTGGCAGCCTGTTCCATCTATCACAAAAAGTCATTCTTTTAATATGTCGAATAAGGGCTCCTTTTATCATATGTGGTGGACTTGTGATAAGGCAAAGAGTTATTGGTCTGAAATACATAGAGAAATGGAAAAAATTGTGAAATGTAAATTTAAGAAGGAACCGGAAATACCATTGTTGGGACTTAAAATGGAGGAAGTCAATAGGGCAAAAAGAACATCGATGTGGTATATGATTACAACTGCCAGAATGATGTATGCTCAAGCTTGGAAACAGGACAGAGTCCCTGAAATTGAGGAATGGATAAAGAAATTACTTTTTATGGTTGAAATGGACAAAATGACAAGGAAACTTAAGAATTTGGAGGCGGAAGAATTTTTGAAAGACTGGAAAGATTTTAAAGAATATTTAGAGAAACACTGGGATGTAAAGAACAATTTGATTTGTTTTGATAGTTGCTAAAAAGTAAATGATAATAGAATAAAGATAAATGTATAAGAATATTAGTTGATATATAAGTTATCTATAGATTGTGAACAGTGAATAAGGGAGATATAAAGAAAATCTAAGATATGGGCTGGAGGTTGGAGCACTGTGGGAAGCCAGAAGGGAGTGGGGTATAGTAGAAAAGAATGTATGACAACTAATTTGATATATGTATAACTTTTTTATTATGTCCTAATAAAGTGTTTTGAAAAAAAACCAACAAACCAACAAAAAGTCAGTGTTTCTTTTCATAGCCTATGGGCCAAAACTCCAAGTACATTAACGGGGAGCTCCTCCATTGGAATCCAGAGCAAGAACTGGATATTATTGGCCTACCTGAGAGGATTGCAGTCATATACATGAAGCCCTTTGCTAAGAAGAAGAAGAGGAGGAGGAGGAGGAGGAGGAGATTGGATTTATACCCCACCCTTCACTACCCAAAGGAGTCTCAGAGCGGCTTACAAACTCCTTTCCCTTCCCCTCCCCACAAGAGACACCCTGTGAGGTAGGCGGGGCTGAGAGAGCTCTTGACAGAAACTGCTCTTTTTCAAGAACAGCTCTTATCAGAACTACGGCTTGCCCAAGGTCATCCAGCAGGTGCAAGTGGAGGAGTGGGGGAATCAAACCCGGTTCTCCCAGATTAGAGTCCGCGCACTTAACCACTACACCAAACTGGCTCTCTCTAAGCATTTATTGTCTTCATGAAACCCTGGATGAGCATCTCCATGAAGCAGCGATGTGTCTTCCCTTCCACCACAATGACCTTAGTGAGGGCTTAAGATCTGCTTGCTCTGTGTGACATCTTGCACCAAAACATCAGGCCTGACTCCAAGCGAGTAGGAGCCTACCCAGTTCTGTCCCCTGGAATGTAAACAGCACTTGACGTGCACATGGTGAATGTAAGTACTCTATTATGGAAAACAACTACCAGCAAATCCCTGTTACTGCACAGACCGATTATGAATTGTATGCTGCACCGGAGAACAAAAGGAAGCAGCATTAGTAACACAAGGATGTCCTGCACCACTGAGGTCATTTAGGGAAGGGAGAGCCGCACTGTCTTTTCCCACAGTCAACTCTGTTCTGGATTCGTTGACACTCTGCATTAGAAGAGGCCACCCAGCTCTGGCACACTGAAATAGGGCCGTCTCCTGAATGGCTCCCCTTCAAGGGCTTGTTTACAAAGAGAGAGGCCTTTAGCCTCTGTCTACCTCAGCAAAGAATTCCTGGATTTCTCTCCCTCCATACTTGCCAACTCCCTTGGGTCATTTACAGATCACTGAGTTTGCTTCTGGACCTGTGAACGCTACCCAGCAAGAATAATATCTCTGCTGTTCATTTGCAATTCATTTACAAAGCAAGATTTTCAGAAATTGTTATTGATAGCAGAACCTCGTGTGAGTCCTTCATGGAAGGATTGCCACCATGGAAGGATTGAGTCCCCCAACCCCATCTTCCTTCCTTGGCATGGCATTGCACGTAGAGATGTGGGGTGTCCTTTCCCTCTTCTCCCTTGCAGAGAACAGTCTGGGGTGTATAAGTGGCCCCTGTTTGCTCACCTGCCTGAATAAGTAATGACACTAAGGTGGGTAGTAGGTCTGTGACAGGTATGTGCTGGCATTGTAAACAGTCTAAAGGCTGGTATGCACACATGTGGTGGGAATGTGCAGAAGTAAAGACCTTTTGGAGGGAAATTACTGAAATCATTAGGAAAGTATGCAATGTAACATTACCTATAGACTTTAACCTAATGCTGTTAAGCACAATAGGAAGCCCATTATTGGATAAGAAAACTCAAAATCTAGTCAAGGCTACAATACTGGCGGGAAAGGCAGTGATCGCTCTGGGTTGGAAAGACAAAGGTAAATGGACAATAGAAATCTGGCACAACTATTTGTTTGATTTTATACAGTCATTGTGGAGTCAACCGACAAGGGAACAACATGGGAAGAAAAATGCACGGAAATCAGGGCCAGATGGAAGATCTACTTAGACTGGATGATGAAAGAAAGAAGGAAGGACATTCAGTGGAAGATCAAGACTCTATGCCCTTTAGGGCTGCCAAGTCTTTTAAACGTACCGGCGGGGGAGGCTCCATCCCGTCCAGGAGCTGGCTCGGTGTGCGCATGTGCCCGAAGCGCGCATGCGCCGCCGCAACGTCACCGGAAGTGAAGTCAGACGTTGTAGACGTTGGGGGCGTGGCCGAGCTCATCGGGGGGGAACATATGGTTCCCCCCCCCGACGAGCTCAGCCACGCCCCCAACGTCAGCAATGTGGCTGCGTCACCTCTGGTGACGCAGCTTCGGGGGCAGGGTTCCCCCCGGGCCCCGATTCCACCAGGGCGGAAATCGGGGCTCCGAAGTGGGGGAATCTCCG